GTCCACAGTCCACAGTCCACAGTCCACAGTCCACAGTCCACAGTCCACAGTCCACAGTCCACAGTCCACAGTCCACAGTCCACAGTCCACAGTCCACATGCTGTAAATTGTACGTACATTGGTATGGTAAAGTGCGTACGATACTACTGAAAGAAAACGATATCCGTAGCGGCGTGCAGACTCCAGACGCAATCATGCGAAATATTTACCGCAATACGGTACGTACGTACCATACGTACCTTACTGTACAGTAATATCATGAATACTGTACCGTACCAGTAGTCTACTGTAACGGATACTGAGTGTTCACCCATCGTAAGTCGTGTACGGATACTACCGTGCGTATGGTATGTACCGGTTACTGCGCAATGAACCCTGGACGGCACGAATATCTAAATTGCGGCGCGCCATACCAAATTGTAGGATTTGTCGAAATCATCGGCTCGTTGGTATGGTGCGGTGCTGCCGCGCCGGCGTCCTGTCTGTGCGGTACGACGTGACATACAGTAATTATTTTAAACCGAACTATTGTACGTACGGTACCGTACGTAATCGTACTCGTCACGATCCTCGTACAATCATCTGACGTGTGTACTCAAGCATTTCGTACCTGTAATTGCGCACAGTACGTACGGTACGGTACAGGAAAAAACATCGAATCTGTGCGGCTTTGCCGCACCAAATTTAGGGGCGGGCGGGAAGCAGGAGGGCGAACAAAGAATAAACAACAAGCACTGGTGCCAGTACGATTACTAGTAGTACATGTACTACCTGGTACAGAATCGAACGAACAACTCATGCCATCTACGTTCCGCGCTGCCCTCTGATCGCAAGAATAGTCTGCCGTCCAGTACGATACTGTACCGTACAACTCGTACTAACGACCGATCTGTTCTGCAATGCCGCGAAAGCTCATCCGAACAGAGGAAAGTCCATATCGAGACTCTGGCAAAGACATCAACCACCCGCCCCAGCGAAACACAACGACTCCACCCGCTCGTTTCGCCGACCGCAAACAGCACCAGCAAGGAGGCACGAGTTCGTACCGGTACCACACCAGCACGGTACCGAACACACACCAGACCAGACCAGACGACACCATACCACTCCTTTTCCCAACTCCCCCCGAGCATCGGCAGGCATCCTTCCCGGTGTTCCCCGAAGCAAAAAACGCGAAAGAAAGAACACCGACAAGCACTAGATAGACCATGGGCAAACGAAGCAAGAAGGTACGGACATAGAGCAATTCGTTTCTGTTTCGGGCTCGATCTGACGCGGGGCAAACGGCGTTGCTTCGTTCGGAAGGAGTTCCTCGTGGTTGCCGGATTCTTTTGGTTCGATTCGATTCCCGTTCTAATTTCTTGTGTTGTGTTCCTTCCTTCCCCCCCCACACTACGGTTTTGCTTCGCTTCTTGTTCCATTCGGTGGGTTGTGCTCTTTTTTTGTTGCCTTCCGGCAGAACGACGACGACGACGACGTCGCCATGGAGGATCCCTCGGAGACCAGCGAAGAAGAGGAGGCAGCCCCCCCCAGGCGGAGCCGATCGTCCCGCCGCGCCGCCACCAACCAGCAATACAAAGAATCCAAGGACGACGACGACGACGACGACGAAAGCGACCAGGAGGAAAGCTCCAGCGCGGCACATGGAGAAGACGAGGACGACACCGAATCCGAAGAAGCCCCGGTGCGGAGGAGGAGACAGCCCAAGAGATCCTCCAGCAAGAGCCGTTCCCCGCCGGGATCTTCCTCGGACGACAACAACAACAACAACAGCGATAGCGGAAAACGACGATCGGGCCGTTCCAATAAGTTCAAGGCCAGCATGAAGGTCCCGGGCGAGTCCCTTAGGGAGTTGTATGCGGCCGACGAGAACGACGAAGACATCGACAGCAGACCCAAAAAGAAGAAGAAGGCTCCCCCCAAACAAACGCAAAAGGCCGCGTCCAAAAAGGCTCCGAATTCCAAGCGGCAGGCTCCCCCCGCGTCTCCCCTCAAATCCAGGGCCCAGCACAGCACGCGCCGAAAGACCCCCTCCAAGAGCGTACTGGAGGTCGGCGCGGACGACGAGGAGAACGACAGCGACGCGTACATGGAAGAAGAACCGTACTCGGACGAGGAGGACCACGGGCCGGACGACGAGGACGACGAAACCTTGAAGATCCAGCGGATCCTGGCCGTCCGCAGCGAAACAAAAAAGAAGTGGCGGGAAATCTGTGCAAACATGCAAACCTCCGAGGTCACGGACGGAAGCCGGTGGTTCCAAACGGAGGAGGAGAGCCACGGAAGCGGGGAACACGACAACGACGGCTCCGAAACGGGCGACAACGTGCTGGAGGAACGCTTCCTGGTCAAGTGGAACCAGCTCTCCTACCTGCACGTTTCGTGGGAGACCCACCACGATCTGATGGACCAGGTGGAAAACGCCAAGAACTACATGTCCACCTTTTTCCGGAAGCAGGTCGGGGGGCTCCTCTTTACGCAGGACGAGCGCAAGGACGGGGACTATTTCGATCCCGGCATGATCCAGATCGATCGCATCCTGGAGGTGGTCGCCCCGGAGGACTACCTCCAATCGAAGCTCCCCAAGACGTGGATGGAAGAACTGGACATGGGGGATCCGGTGGAAGAATTCGGAATGGTCCTAGACAACAAGAAAGATCCAAAGGCCTTTGAGGCAAACGCGGGTCGCCAGTTCCTGATCAAGTGGTCTTCCCTCAACTACTCGGATTCGTCCTACGAATTCGAGCGAGACCTCTGGCTGATGGACCAAAAAGACTCCCTCATGGACAAGCTCCGGGACTATTACCACCGCACCAAGCGGCCGACCCGCAAGCAACTGCATGCCCGCTCCAAAGAGGCCGAGGAGGCCAAGCGCAAGGCCTATCTCTTTCTAGGAGACAACTCGCGTCTGGCGGGGGACGTCAAGGAGGCCAGGGTCAAGTCCTACCAGGAGTCCCTGACGAAGCACGTCTTTAAGAACGGGGGCTCGCTCCGCGACTACCAGGCGGAGGGGGTCACGTGGTTCTTGGCGAACTACGTCAACGGGAGGTCCTGCATCATGGCCGACGAGATGGGGCTCGGAAAGACCCTGCAAACCGCCGCCTTTTGCAACCTCCTGGTGCAAAAGATGTTCAAGACGGGACCCTTTTTGATCTGCGTCCCCCTCTCGACGCTGGCCCACTGGCAGCGTGAGTTTCAGGGCTGGACCGACCTCAACACGATCGTCTACCACGGATCGGCGGAGGACCGCAGGGCGATCCGGGAGGCGGAGTTTGCCTATGCCCGGGACCGCCCCGACGGCTCGGGGGGAGGGGGGATCAACTCGCTCTACCTCAAAAAGTGCGAGCCCGCCAAGAGCAAGAGCTCGGCGAAGTGGATGGCCACGGTCGTGGTCACCACCCCCGAGATGCTGGTGGCAGACGACTGGACCGAGCTGTCGTACGTCCGGTGGCAGGTCCTGGTGGTCGACGAGGCCCACCGGCTCAAGAACCACAACTCGAAGCTGGCGGCGACGATGCGCAAGGAACAGTTCACCTTTGAGCACAAGCTTTTGCTGACGGGAACCCCCATCCAGAACGACGTGAAGGAGTTCTGGACCCTCCTCCACTTTATCGACCCGAAAAACTACGACGATCTCGACGCCTTTATGGACGAGTACGGGGACATGAAATCGAAGGAAAAGATCGACGAGCTGCACAATCAGATCCGGCCCTACATTTTGCGCCGGCTGAAGGAAGACGTGGAAAAATCGGTCCCGCCCAAGGAGGAGACCCTCATCGAGGTCGAGCTCACGCTGGCCCAGAAGCAATACTACCGGGCGCTCTACGAAAAAAACGTGGGGTTCTTGCACAAGAACAAGAAAAAGGCCCTCGACGGGCCCAGCCTCAACAACCTGGCCATGCAGCTGCGCAAGTGCTGCAACCACCTGTTTTTGCTGAACGGGGTGGAGGACGACATGCGCACCAAGGAACTGGAAAAGCTCAAGGGGTCGGAGAAATCGATCGACGAGGGCGACTTTGTCACGAACGGATCCGGGAAACTCGTTCTCCTGGACAAGCTCCTGCCCCGCCTCAAGGAGAACGGCCACAGGATCCTGGTGTTTTCGCAGTTCAAGATCATGCTGGACATTCTGGAGGACTACCTCCACTACCGGGCGTACAAGTTCGAGCGGATCGACGGAAGCATCACGGGTCACAAGCGGCAGTCCGCCATCGACCGCTTCCAGGAGGGCACCCCCGGCAAGGAGCCCCCCTTTGTCATGCTCCTGAGCACGAGGGCCGGAGGTGTGGGCATCAACCTGACAGCCGCCGATACGTGCGTTATTTTTGATTCGGACTGGAACCGTGAGTATCTTGTGTCGACAATGAGCAGGGCGAAGCAGACTGCCGCGTACTGTTTTTTGAGAGTTTGTTCTTGTGTGGAGGAAGTCCATAGGTCTCTGCTTTGCCTCTCGACCCCTAAATCTTGATTCCATCTCTCTCTCTCGTTTCTCTATATTCATTGTCTATTCCGCAGCACAAAACGACATCCAGGCCATGGCCCGGTGCCATCGAATTGGACAAACAAAGAGCGTCAAGGTATATCGCTTGCTTACGAGGAAAACATACGAGATGCAAATGTTTCACATGAGTTCTCTCAAAATGGGATTGGATCAAGCCGTTTTGACGGGGTTCGAGAGCAACTCGTCTGGGGAGGGAACCATGACAAAGGAGGAGGTCGAGAGACTCTTGCGGCACGGTGCCTACGACATTTTCAACGAGGACAAGGCAGGCAGCGCCGAAGCCGAGTCCAATGATTTCGTCCAGCAGGACATTGATTCCATTCTGTCGAGGAGGAGCCGGAAGATTGTCCACGGGAACACGGGAAGTGGCAGCTCTGCTGCCGGGGGAACCTTTTCCAAGGCGAGCTTTGTCCACAAGACTCCTTCCAAGGAAGGAGAGCAGGGCGCCTCGGCCGATATTGACATCAACGATCCCGACTTTTGGACCAAAATGGTGGGTGAAGCCAAACCGGAAGAAGAGTCGATATTGAAACCGAGAAAACGAAACCAGGCCAACTATAACGAAAAGAATTGGGATAAGAACCTTCAAAAGGCTCTGAAGTATGATAGCGAATTTTCCGACAGCGATGATGACGACGACGACGAGAGTGCGGAAGGAGATGTCCAGGAACGGACCCGCTGGGGTGGTCCGAAGCCGGAGCACTGGAAACGAGACCAGGTCGAAGCCGTTGTGGCTCGGATCGAAAAGTGTGGGTACGGACTCATTCCTCCAGACGAATTCGCAAAGGGACTCCCGAAGGGGTTTGGAAAATTCCCAAAGGAGGAAATCCTTCGAATGTCGTGGTCGCTTGTATTGATGGCCATCTGTGAAGTTGCCACGAGCAACGGTGTGGGAGAGGCCAAGCGGTCGAAGCTCAGGGCCGAGAGAAAACGAGACACCGAGGGTGGTGACGGGGAAGGGGGTCTGGCGGAACAGAGCAACGAAGCGACGGTGACACCGAAATCCACTGGGGAGATGAAAGAAATCTGTTTCAAAAGGCTGTGGGAGAGCCATTCGAGCTGGGCCGCGAAAGCGCTGGGGGATGCGGTATCCTTTGCGCGCATTCACGATCCCCGTGTCGATGATTCCAGCGACAACCAGGAAAAAAAAATCCGCGAGGTATTCAAGAATCAATTGTGGCCTTCCTTGCAGGGACGAGGATGGAAGATCGAAGACGAAGATGACGAGGATGGAATGGAAACATACATTTATGGCAAGCGAGAATTCTCCTCGCCCTCTATTGTGATGAACGAAGTCATTCGTATTCATCCCGAACTACAGAAAAATGTTGTGGAGTTGCTGAACATGATTGAGCAATCTCGGTTGCAAATTGACCAGCAGATGGACCACCAAAAGGCACAAGATCTGGCTTTGACCGCATCTAATGTCACCTTGAAAAACCTTCAAAACCTACTTGAGCGCTATTCACCCATGCAAATTTTGTACGATCGCTCACGGAAAGCAAATCGAATATCGCTGAGACTCAAACTACTAGTGTCATGCAACTACATCAAGACTGCAATTGCGATCGTCACGGCCGTTGACAAGGAGTCTTCTGCCTCAAATATCGAAATACCAACTGGCGATGACAAACTTTGCGATGTCCTTGGTGTGGATGCCAGGTCTGGTCTTCCCCATCCATTGTGGACTAAAAAGCACGATGCCATTCTGATTCGCAGTGTCGCAAAGCATGGATGGGTAGACGTTGACGCTAACCTTAAAAACATTGTGAATGATAAGAAGATCAAGTGGGGCTTTCCTTTTGAAGCCTCCAATAATGCTCCTGTTCAGCGGATCGGAGAACAGGAGATGAAAAATATGCGCGAAACTGCGGGAAGAGCGGCTTCGATTCTCAACGAGAAACCGAAAATCTTGGAGATCTTGACTGGCTTCAACAAAAAGCTTGGTAGGTGTGCGACTGCAATCGATATTTTTTCTTTCAACTATTCCGTGTTTCTTCCGAAAGTAGCTCACATGCTTTGCGCTCTGGTATTTTTGTTCTTCAAAGTTATTGATTCGTATGGCCTCACGCAGCAGTCGGAAGATGACGAAAATGATGAAATGGACGACGGAGAGAAAAAGTGGAGGGTCGACAATAGAATGTTGCATCAGGCGTCCAAGAAGAGTGAACCTGTCAAAGAGGCTGTTGATTTACCTGCTAAGAAAGATTTTGTGAAGCGTGCGAAAATTGTGATTCAAAAGACTTTCGCCAAACTGCGCTCGGAAGGTACAAACAGCAAATCAATTTCTTCTACGAAAGCAATTGACGAAGACGTGAAAAGCAACGAAAGTCATGGGTACATCGTAATCGACCAAGGAAGTCGATGTAACATACTTCTCGCGGAGATGATTCGAGCACTTGTGAAAGGATCGACGAAGGTATCTGTGCAAATTCGCCATATGGTAAGATAGAACGAAACAGATGTAAAACTTTGCATTTTGGATTCGCTCTCGTGCAGAAAGTAGATCCTCATGAACCTTGTTAATTTTATTCTTCTGTTACTTGCTTCTAGTGGCAAATGAGTCATATGGAAGCGAAAGCATTGATCAAAATGCTCGAGTCACAAAGCGACAAAAAGAAAGAAGTGGAAGAATTGAACAGAATCACGGGGCAGATTGCGCTTGCGAAATGGGCTTGCTCTAAACGGTCCACGACCCAGGGAAAAAATGTGCTACGCGTCATGCTAGGGGAAAAGCCTCAAGTTCCACGTAACGAGACCATACAAGACAAAATCTTCCCCGCAGAAAAAACAGTCCCGATTCCCGGCACTAGAACGAAGGCACCTGGCAAGAGAAAAGTGAAGAGAAATGATCCTGCGATCGGAGAGAGGGCAATAATGAAAGCGATGAAAAAGGCTCACGATCACAATTCCGGAAAAGTGTTTGGTTTCGTCAAGACAAACGAAGACTTGGGAATACAGCTCACCTTGATTGAGTCTTATATCTTGTCTGTTTTTTGTTGTGAAGGCATTCCGTTGAACTTTGATTTGGACTCTAAGAAATCGGATTTGGGTATCTCGAAAACATGGGAGGACATTTCGAAAAGTTTGGTGGATTTGGCTAGACAGCAACAAGACCACGCAAAAGAAGTAACAGTTCTCTGTAAAGCTGCTCTATCAAAAGGCACAAGTCAAAATCTAGAAGAGAAACAAATCAAGATGTTAGCAGAAAATCTCTCGAGAGCAGAATCTGACTTTGCTGTAAAAGAAGAAGCTGCTCGTCTTGTCAACGATTTTACCCACAAACCGAATGAAAGATTGTCGAAGAAAAGGTACGGAACGCCACAATGAAGACGATGATGAGTATTTTGTTCTGTTTCATCATGTGTTCCATTTTTTTCTTTTTTTGGCTTACACTCAATGTTTACAACAACTGTTTGATCAGCATCATGCTCATGGAGAAGGTCCGAGCTTACGGGACCGCAAAAGTTAGTACTGGCAAGGTGACGACGAAATACGAAAATTACCTCGGACCAAAGATACCGAGATGGTTTGGCAAAGAACTAGCACGTGCTGCAGCTACCCACGAAATTTTGGATGACGAGAACAAGCCACAATCTTGGACTACCGCCGACATCTCTGAGACAATTCAGAACAATCCCGAGTACAATAAATCAATTGTGTCAGCCTTTTTAGACAAGACCTCTGCTCGTCAAGTCACGAGTCAAATCTCTATGCTGTCGAGATTGCGGTCGATTCTTGTGCAATGCAGCGAGAAAGAGTTCCGATCAAAACTCTCTCGAGCCATAAGGCAGTCGAAAAGAAACGATGACGATTGGGAAAAGAAACCGAGTTGGTGGGAAGATTCTACGGAGGAACACTCATTTCTTCTTTTGACGAAATTAAGTGAGTACGGATTTGCAAAGATCATGACGGCCGTCAAGGCTCGTGATGGCTTTGGTGCTGCTGGAGAGGACTATGACAATATGACTGCTCTGAAGTTGACCAAACCATCCATCCAAACCAGGGCGAATCAGCTCGTCCGGGAACTTCACGCCATCGAAGACCACGAAAGCATGCTTCAAATGGTGGCAAAGCGCCGAAAGAGTTCCCAGGGAAAGATTGATTCCCTGGCTGTACTCGGAAAGAGTGGTAAAACAGGTTCGGGTTTGAAGAACCCCTCTCCGACAAACGGTTCCAGTTCGACTACGCCAACTTCCGGTGGGAAGTCCAAAAAGGGCACGGTGCAAACCGGCCTCAAGGCTTTTTTCTCGGCGACTCCATCCTCCAGTGGCAAGAAGAAAACCTCGAACGCTGTTGACAATGGCAGCACGGGCAGTAGCAATCACAACCCTTCGTCCGTTGAAAGCAAAAAACGCAAGGAGTCCGCAACCCCTTCGCCACCCACGTTCGTCATCCGTTCGAGCAGTGGCAGTGGTAGTAGCAATCACGAGTGTGAGAACGGAGCGGTTACGCCCCCCGCAGAAAAGAAACTAAAATCGACATCCGACGATGACTCATCCTCCATAGAAAACCCAATGGTGGAAGTCGAGCAGAGTAACGGGGTGGAAGTCGTGGTGATTGATTGAAAGCAAATCAAGCAAGCAATAGCAAGAAGGAAATAAACGCGGGCAACACTTTCTGCTCGGGATAAAAATTGTACTTCGTATTGTATTTCTAGGGTCAATTTGCCTATAGAATGTTGCATCACTCAATAGACAACCTTTTCGAAACAAATGAAATTCTTCTTCGAAAACATTCAGCGAACGATTACCCTTTATAATCTGACCCAGCAAGATAGAAGCCGAACAAAACACTGCCTAGATGTATCTCCATATCACTACAGATGTTACCGGGGTACTAACACCATACTACCCTGAACATACCGTGAGAGCTTCGGTTGTTCTCACAGAGGTGATTCTTTTCCAATTCAAGTGCATGACACTTTGGATTCCGTCCATTGCCACTACAATTTCTCTGCGTTCTGATCAAAAGCAGTTTGCGGCACTCTGTCTCGGACTCCGTTCCACCACCATGCAACTGTACTGTGCGTTCAACTGATTGGCTTGGTTCCATCGGGCGGTGTTGTGGATGCAGAATCATCGAGATGTGTTTGCAGACTGGAACGGCAGCTATCGAAGAGGCACTATCCGCCACACAGATCCGAAAAAGACGGAACCGTCCTCCGATTGCGCAAGCCGCGAGCCAAGCTCGATGGCATCGCACAGAAACAGCAAAGAAAACAAAGCTACCGAGAAACATACATTGAGTAGGTATCGTATTCTTTATAATTGTTACATTTCGATTCACTATACGATAGATATGGGAACAGTAAAAGTACAGTGCAAGCCGCAAACTCAATCAAACGCTGCCGGCTCTACTTGTAGAAAGGCGTCCGTCTGGTGCAGTTCTAGGAACGGCTGGAGCAGGGAGTTGAGCAGGAGCGAGCGGCCTACCATTTCGGCCACTTCGACGCACCAGCAGCAATGATCGCGAGATGCCGTCCTCGCCCGGTTTCGTCCCATCATTGGCGACAAAATCACGCGCTGGTGCTGGTGGTGGTGGCGTTGTGGTTGCTGCTGATGCTGATGTTGCTGTTGCTGTTGCTGTTGCTGCGTGTCCGACGAATCCGGAGAGAACGAGTCGCGTTCGCTTTCCTCTCTGGGAGCGGCTTCTCGTGGTGCATCTGCTTGCTGCTGTTGAAGGTACTCCCTGACGTCGGCTTCGTCTTCTCTGGCAAGCGCCCGCGCCTTTTCCTGGCTCCGCACCGTGTCTCCCGTGGCCATGCACACCCGGCGAATGCGCTCGTCGTTCTCTAGGTTCGCCTTCCTTCCGATGCGCTGGTGGTGCTGCTCCAGCAAGATCGATCGGAGGCATTCGTACCGTTTCTTGAGGCAGTGCAGGTTGTCCCCGTCGTAGACGAGCCGCTCGAGGCCCCGAATGTCGCACGTGTAGGCTCCGTGCTTCCCGCGCTTCTTGCTGTTGTATTTCATTTCTTCCTTGCGCCGGTCGATGTCCCGAAAGGCGGCCTGCCGCATGGCCCGGATCTCCCTGGGGCTGTACCACAGTCCGTGCTTGTCCTTGCTCGAGTATTCCGCTAGGGGCGGTATGAACCGGACCTCCACGACGTCCATTTCGACAAAGGCGTGTGGGTGTGGGTGTGCGTGTGCGTATGCATGTGGGTGTGCGTGTGCGTGCCCCATTGCTTCTCCGAGCCGCGAGTCGCCGTAGCCGACGTCCTCGTCGTCGCTTCCGTCGTCTCGCACATAGGTCGACGAAAAGGAAACCCTGCGTTGTTCGTACAAGGGAGCTAGTATCATCGTGCTACAAGTACGAGTAGTGGTGGTTGTTCTTGTTTTCTTCTCCCAACTTCGTCTTGGTGGTTTGAATGCAACTGTGTTACGTTTTTGTCATAGTTTTCTGATTTTCAATGGTGCATTACAACTCAATCCTGCCCTATTGTGATTTCATAGTTGACAACTCTCTTGGTGTTTTGCTAGCAGTTCAAAGAACTACGATACCTTTGATTTCAATATTGATGCGTTGATATTCCACCAGCGATAGCAAGTGGGAAGTATCCGTGACCGTATGGAACTGCTTCGAGTCTTTGTCTAAAATACTGAAGCTAACATCTAAAGATGCCGCGAAAGTTGGCGAACTTTCGAATTCGACACCCTTTTTTCAGTTCAACCTGGGAATGGGGAACGAGAAGAGTTTTCTCCTCGTGAACTCACTCTGTACCGTAAGGTACGAGTACATACGTACTACGGCACTGGAAGTGTTTTTTGTCATTCTTCCGTCGACCAATCGTTCCCGAATTTTTGGCTGTCACTCAACCCGTCAACAACATTGATGGGTCGCATCAACAAAAATGACCAACTCGCGAGGGGAAGATCGCTAGAGTTTCCATCTGGTGGAAGCTTCCAGGCTTATGTATTAGGAGCACCTGCTCTCCTCCTGTCCCAAACCTAGACAAAAAGGTTTCGAACATCGTGATTTGAAATTTCAAAAACACACCTTTTTTGTTTTTTGCGTGCGTTAGAGATACCATAGTGCCGGAGGACAACCAACTACGGTCTTCTCTGTGATCACTTTTTTTGGGAACGATGCCTTCAGTTCGAACTAAACAATGTAGATGGTGATGGCACCTTGTGTGCATGCACACCTTCTCGTTCTACTAGTTGTACGGTACAGTCTTGTACGATCGAACACCCGAAGTCGTACGCTACAGATTCGTGACACGACACGAGACACGACACGACACGACACGACACGCGACGCGAACACCATCGTGATCGGCAGCACATACGATCAGTACCGTATCGTACTAGCTATCGCAAGTGCATTCGAAGTAGTGCACTACTGCATCAGTGCGTGGCGCGCCATCAATTCAAGAAGAACCGTCACAACGCGACCGATTCCAGCCAATGATCAGGATCTGGTACCGTACGGTGGAGCCGACGTCCGACGAGAGGTATGGGGTTAGGGTTGGGGTTGGGGTTGCAACACAAGGATAATATTTTTGATACAGTATTTAGTAGTAGTAGTTGCACTCACTGGTGGTGCATCATGTACTCACCAGAAGAAGCAGATTGAGGACCCCCCCCCAACGTCCCCATACCATTAGATAGCTCTTTAAAATGGCTGGCTTTCAATTCATGTGCTAACCATACTTACTAGGAGTCCGTTCGGGACAAAGAAGATGCACATCATAGTACTAGCTGTGGTTCAACAACAAGTGACGAGGAGTTGAATCTCTCTTTAATGTTACGATAGCAAGATCCAGTGGACTGGGTTGAACATTTAAGTTGTTCATATGGGTGCTCATACAAGAAAATAGAATTTGTCATACTATTTGTAACAGTATTAATACTGATATACAGTAGTAATAGAACTAGCACTAGTAATAGTACTCTTGTTGTCATTAACAGTAATCCTGGTACTACCGTAGTCCGAGGACAGACGTCGTCATGCGTAGCAGCCCGACGTTAACCGTCGAAAAAGCTGAATATTCCTTTCGATCTTGTCGAGCCATATCGTTCGATTCTCGCTTTTCTCACAACCGACCACGAATTTCAGGTTGCGGTTCAGCGCAAGTCATACAGTCCAATCCAATCCAATACAAAGTAACTGCATTTGCTTCAATAACCATGGCCACTGTCGTTGACCCCTCCAAAGCCCCGGTGGAAATGATCGAGGACATCGAGGCCGCCGAGGAAGCCGGAGACACCGAGCAGATCCTGGCGTACCTCCGTTTCGCCTCGTCGGAGGACCGCCGGAACGAGGAGGGCGAGGACGAAGAGTACGTCTGGACCGAGGTCTCCGAGGAAGCCCTGGACGCCTTTTACCGGCTGGTCAAGGCCAGCAAGGAGCTGGGTGCTTCCGCGGCCCTGTCGCACCTGGCCGACGTTTTTGCGGCCCTCGGGGCGTGGAAGGAAGAGGAAGCCATCGTGGAGGTGGCGCTGGGGTGCATCGTGGCCGTGGCGTCCAGGGCGGGCAAGGACGAGGGCGACGGTTCCAACAGCGACGACCGGGCCGGCGCCCTTTCCGTTGGACTCGTTCTGGACACCATGAAGGAGTTTGCCGACGAGCCGACCATCCAGGAGCAGGCGTGCCTGGCCATCGAGGGCCTGGCCCTGTGGAGGGACGACTGGAAGGCCGCCCTCGGCGAGGCCGAGGGGATCCAGGACGAGCTTGCTGCCGCACGGGGGGAGCGCATCACGAACGAGCGCAACAAGGCGTACCCCCTCCGCGCCGCCAAAGCCCTGGGCATCGAGCTCGACGAGGCGTAGGGCGGCGGTGCCGTGCGGGCGGCACGGTGGTTCGATGCACCACGAGATCTACCGCGACGGAGGCTTCCGCACGAGCCACTGGAGCGCAGAAAACCAAGGTCGGTCGGTCGCAAACGACGGCGAATGGAGGCGAACCGATCGAACGAAACGGGATTGGTGCAACAGCAAAAAAAAGGGCCAAATGTATCTGTCAAAACACCGGACTTGCTAGTACTACAGTACCGTGCCTTTGTTCTGTCCGGACAAGCAATGGTTCCCACCATCGGTGTGTGCCATGCGCCATCGGGTTTGTCCTTTCTGCGAATGCGAACGGAACGACTCAAAACTCCTATTCTGTACACACTTTGTTTGTTTGTTCGGTGGGTCCAACAACGGTTGCAAATGCTGGTCGTCGATGCTATAAATATAGAGCTAAAGAACAAATAGAAGAAACTACAGCCTTGATTCCTAGAGGAAGACTACTCAGTGGTACTGCTTCTCGTATCGAACGACATTTGCAACTCATTCGTGCTACATTCCAGAATGCACGGAATAAGTCGGACGTCCGTGCTACGTGTTTCCAGAGCGAAGAAGGCAGGGTGATATCTGTGCAAAATGCATTTACGGTTATTATCAAGAATTTGTTACTGCTCAAATAATAAATGTATGTTCCGTTGCGGTCAGTATCTGGAAGGAGCCAACTAGACGGTTTTTCCACCTCGACGGTCTCCGCTGCCAGCACCACAATCAAAATCAATCCACATATCTACATACACAGGCGCGACGTTTGCCTGTTTGTTCTTACTCCTCGTACGAAATATCGACCGTGATCGTTCCGTTCGCCCGCAACAGGTTTCGGTCGATGGTCTTCTCGATGCGCTTGGGCGAGGACGAGATGCCCTCGTGCTCGAGCTTGATCTTGCACCAGCCCGCCTTGTCGTCCTTGGAACCAATGTCCGAGTCATAGACGCGGAGGGTCAGGACCATGTTGTCGAGGGTAGGGATGTTGAAGTTGAAGGATTCGTTCCAGACGGGGTTGACGTCGCCCTGCTTGACCGAGGTCTTTTGGTACCCATAGTCCTTGTCTCGAATCTAAATCGAACGAACGAACGAGAGAAGAACAAAACAAAAAACATGCGATGAGTGACCCGGATGGCAACACGATTGATCTGAATGAAACCCTTCGCCAAAGGATTCATTCTCGAGGATTGTTAGAAGTGCCAAATAAAATAAGCAGAATTCTTGTAATTACCGCAGACCGATGCTGCCGGTGGCTTCTTCCGCGAAAGATTCATCTTGCAATGACCGCTCCAGATTCTAGAAGAAAGCAACTTACAAGGTTGTCTTGTTCAAGTTCTAGAAAGAAACATAACGAAAACAAATGGAAGAACAGAAATGAATGCGCGACATTGGTTAGTAATATAGTTTAATTCTTGCTCGCCGGTGGCGTCGCAGCGAAGCAATGTCACAACCATCGAGGAACGGAACGGAACGGAACGGAACGGAACGGAACGGAACGGAACGGAACGGAACGGAACAGAACAAAACAAAACGATACAACGTACCGAGCTTGACGTAAGGATCCGTCTTTCCCATTAAATCCTTGTCGGCGAGATGTGAAGCCTTTACAACCTTGACTGTGAGTACGCCCATTGTGTTGCTGTGATTTCTTTGTTAATGTATTTGTCGTTTAGTTTTTTCCAACTGAGGAATTATGAGAAAGGTGAGAAGAGCTCAGAGAGAAAGATCTTTTTCGACACCTCTGAAAGAGCAAACAACAAGAAAGCGGAAATGACTGATTTGCAATCGTACTCGAGCTACCGGTACGAAAATTCTCGTACTGGTCTAAAACCTTCGGTTTACGAGTAAGATACGGGGCAAGACTTCGTTTTGTAACATTGGTACGATTGCCGTAAGTACGGTACGGTAGTTGTATCGTAGGGACGTTCTTCCGAGCAATACACAGAATGACCACTGGTCGCCAAGTACGAATGAAAGATTCTTTTCGACGCGACCAACCTACCGCTTCATACTCCGAGTGAATCTGATTGGTGAGGACTCGTCAGTCGTACTTTCAATAAATCCTGCTTTCATCCTAGTTCGAATCGTACGTTCGGGCCCTACGTTACCGTAGTAGCGTAGCAGATTATCAAGTTCTGTATCCACGAATAAATAACCAAGACCAAAACCAACGGTTGGGCACGACCGTTGACTGCGTCTACCGGACATCCACTCTACGTCCATACGTACGTAACGTATCGTTCGCGAATTCTTGGATACGGTACTGTCATGCAGTCGAATCATTCGACTCGATCGGTCCGATTGACGCGCGCATCTCGAAGCCGAGAATGAACGAACGAATCGAACGAATCAAGACTTGGCCCGGAAGATCCCGCCGGCAGGAGGGAAGCACTGGATAGGAAAGATTTTCTGTTTTTTGAAGATGACGTAATGGATTTTTGAATCGGTAAGTCGGTAAGAAACGAAACATCCGACTCGGTGATGTTTCTGAATTCCATCTCCCTGGACAGCTGCGACTGTCATGTTGACGATTCGTGAAGGGAAAAGAATAGCGCCCATTTCATTTTGTTTGCGAAACTAACAGACACGGTTGTCTATTGCGCAGTAGTATTAAACTTTTGTATCTGACCTCAACGAACGAAAGGGATTTTTGCAGCTCAGAGCAATCTCGCATACGCAACAAAGCGACGTAAGAAAGTGACCCATTCGATGACACTAACGGTGGCAACGATTCGACGACTCGCGCGGCTTGCGACGCTCTCGATGGGAGGCCTTGCAGGAACTTGCGCCTTTTTGGTTCCCGGACAGCAACAGCAAAGCCGTCTCCATCACTGGCGCCCCTCGGCGGGGGGTTGCAACACGTCATGGAGCATGGCGGGAACCGAGTACTCGGACTTTGGCGATCCCCCCGGGGAGGGGGGTGGAGCCTACTCGGCTTCGCTGCCGACTTCCAACGATTCCTTGACGCCGCGGGAAATCGTGTCGATGTGCATGGACTGTTTGCAGGGCGGCGACGACAACGCACACGCTACCGACGAGCGGGCCGGACTGGAGATCTGCTATAACTTCTCCTCGGACGCCTGCCGCACCGCCAACGGGGGATCCCTGGAATCCTTCCTGCAGCGGGCCAACAACCCGGTCTTCCAGACGATGGTCCGCTGCGAGAAATGGGAGGTCGAGAACGTTGGGCCCGAGATCATGGGAACGAACACGAGGGGTGCCATGCAAACCGTTCTGGTGAACGTCGTGCCATCCGCTGCGGCCGGGGGAGGCCGCAGAGACCGGAGGTTCTTGTGGACCTTTGTGAGGGAGCGGAGGCCGCCGCGGCAGGGCCATTTCCTAGTCCACGAGTGTATTGCAGTAGACAATGCCTTTGCCCTGACCGAGTAGGCTGACAGCTAGCTAGCTACTGTAGTTGATTGCCTTCATAGCACCTCTGCAACGTGCCGGGTACGGTTTACCACCGATGGAGTTGATTCATTCGGTCCCGAACCATTCGCAATCGAAGCTAGTGCTGTCGAAGGCTCACCGCATGATTCGGTTCTGCTGGAGTTCGTCTTCGAAGCTCTGGTATGCGCCTGTTAAAGTCGAAGCCACTATGCTGTCAGATATGCCAGTCTCGAACGACAAGTGTATATATAACAGTGGAGACACCTACGATTTGGAAGTATGGTACTACTACTCAAAGCGAGTCAGGTTTCAAATTAACTACTCGTTACTTGAACATTTCCACAATGCCTACGTTGCAATTGTTTTCATTGCTGATAGCATTGTCACAATGCTTCTCTTTTTTGCGGTTGCGTACACAAAACGAGCTATGCAAGGGTATCTGAGTTGGTTGGATAATTCTTTTCATGCGTGGGTCGTGATGTTTTTGAACCATAATATGATTGTTTCTTTATTTCATTTACGAGATTATGACATCTTTCAGTGATCCAGAGGTTACAACCGAAGCCTCGTCTCCCTCCCCGATCGCCAATGGGACGTCTTTGTAGACCGCAACCCCCTCGCTATTCACCTTGAGATCAGGAAAAATCGTGTTGAGCATTTTCTTCTTGATCACCTGGTTCTCGGTAGCCGGTTCCCCCTCGAATCCAGCGCAAACAATTCGATCCCCCGGAACGGCACCCTCTGGCGGGGATAGGAGCTCGACAATGTCTTCCGAGCCATCTTCCGACTCGCCCTCTTTCACGGCGCACAGAACCATCCCGTGGCTAGGAAAGCCGACCATCTTGCGCGACTTGAGGTTGGCCAGGACCAAAACCTTTTTTCCCGTCATTTCCTCGCTGGTGTAGTGAGCCTTGAGTCCGGATGCGATACTGCGAGGCTCGTCCTCGCCAATGTTGATTTCTTCGCAAAAAAGTTTGTCTGCCTCTTCGTGCTCCCAGCATTTTTCAATCAAGCCGACGCGGATGTCCAGCTTGGAGACATCGATCGGGGGCGGCGGTGGCGGAGCCTGCTTCTTTGGCTTCTCGGCGGCGGTTTCGTCGGCTTCGGAAGCATGGAGAACGGAAAAACGTCTGACCGAGGGCGCCATCGTCGAAGTGGTAGCGGGGAACGGACCAAGAGAAAAGGCGTGGGCCACGCCGCCGAAGGAAGCCACGGAGTTACAAGCGATGATGGCCAACAAGGCCAGGGAAGAATATCTCGTGCTCGTCATCGTTGCAATCGAAAGGTATGATAGTAGGCTAGATCTGTTGGTTTTCGAACGAAGTTGTCCTCGTACTTCGGGAGTTTTCGTCGTGCCCTACGTTACGGGGGACCCAGTGGTGATTGTTGGTCCGTCAAATGATGTACTGTACGATACCTTAATGGACGATCTATGACGACGATGACGACGATGACGATGATGTTGTCGTGTTAAGAAAAACCTCCCATACCGTACGTTTAGTTCCAGTCGTGCCACTGAAAGAAGTTTATCCCCATTCCTTTTGCAGTTACGGAATGCCAGCTCAAGGGGTGTTGAGGAAACTGATTTTGGTTTTCCCCTCTCCGCGCGCTTGCTCAAAAACTAAATGAGTACCGACCGTACTGTAAGATGTAGTAAGATACAACTTCCAGTCTAATCTACGGTACATGAGTCCCTTGTCCCTTCTTCTTTAGGTAGCGCATGAGGATAACCTAGCGTTCGTCTGTCGTACGTATTTTCTTGTAATTCTGACGTGGATAATGTTGTTACATAAATGAAAAAAAATAATTATCATCGCTTACAGTATTCTTCTACGAAGTTCTTACCATCGTCCAAATGATCCACAAAATCGATGATGTTTGTGCACGGCACGTGACATGAAGTTACATCTACGAATAGGCCTCTTTCCCAAAAAAATCAAGATTTTCCCTTTTCGTACCGTACAGCGCAATACGAAGGCATCTTGTTCGTCTAACCGAAATACAGTGCATACAGAATTACAGAATTTCTGCGTAACACACGTTTACGTTATTATTATTCATCTTTGGTATTGTTTCGGCGACTTCGCATCATTGACAATCCCAACAGTCCTGAAACAAGAGGAACCTTTTTTTCCAATCAACTGCACAACAGTAAGCCGTCAACGAACAAGAAGCATGACGTTGAAACAATTGTCCGCAGAGTGCCAACTGGACAGCGATTTCTGCCCTGGAGGTGCCAAGGTCAATCTCTTGGAATACACCAAGGGCAAAAAGGTTATCCTTATGGGATTGCCAGGAGCTTTCACGCCAACCTGGTAGGTGTCGTTCAGCTCGATTTTGCTTTGGCGATGGACCAGGTTTGACTTGAATGGAATTGAATGGAACATTCGCGTACTTGCAGGATTTTGCTGTCTTGCAGGAGTGTTTTGTCGTCACAACGTGTGTCTTTGTTTAGGTACTTCGTGCTTATGGAGAGGGAAGACAAAGCAGTGATCGCTCTCTACCATCAACATCTGAACTCTATCATAGGGCTCTGCTCCTTTGCATGACACAGACTACGAGTTGTGGTATCTAGACGTTTCGCATCGCATCTTACCTTCCTTTTTCTTGTTTTGGCTTTCGTTCGTTAAACCTTCCGATGATTGTTTTTCTGTGGTAAATTTCATGCCGTATCTTCGCGCTCGAACCGCAGATCCACACGACAAATTCCTGATTACATCAAGGCCCAAGACGGTAAGTAGGGAACTGGATTGTATTGAATCGGAACTTTCATCGGAAGAACATTGAAATCTCGAACGTCTAACTAACCAATGTCTCCCTTACTTCACGATTGGCATTGTTCCGTGCACCGTACAACAAACAAACCTCGATTCCGAAGAATTAAAGGCCCTTGGAATCGAGGAAGTCATGCTCTACTGCGTCAACGACATGGCCGTTATGAAGGCCTGGGCCGAGGACCAGAAGGTCGGAGAGACCATGATTAAGTTTTACGGAGATCCGACCAGCGCCTTTACGAGGTACATGGATATGGAGATGACCCATCCCGGACCTGTGAGCGTCGGATTGCTCGGCCGTTGCAAGAGGTTTGCCCTGTACATCGACGATGGAGCTGTCAAGTACCAGGCGCTGGCAGAGGACCTCGATTTCGATCCCGCTGGGGATGACTTTCCGGAGAAGGTGCTCCCGCCGCAGATGATGGAGGCGATCAAAAAGGTTCAGTCGGAGTAGTCTGCTACAATGTGATGCAATGCGAATAGCAGGGATAAGTAGAAGAAAGAATCACACACGCAAGCGATTTTGTGAAAGGGATGCTACATATAATAGGGCAAATACGAAAGACCGGAGGCCGCTTTTTGGTTGTGAGAAATGTTGTTTTTTACATTTTGCTTGAGAAACAGCAAAGGAATCGATAGAAATGAGGGTTTGGTGATTGCAAGAATGACGAACTCCTGCTTCCATTCCAAAATTCGGTGCATTCAGTGCACACAGAATGCGGAAAGGGCGGGGATCTGAGAAACAAACGAACAGACACACAGCATGCATGCATTATTGGCACGCGCCATCTATTCGTCTTGATGGTTTGGTGTGTGTGCGGGGATTTGCAATTCAATCGACCTCATATCTCTCTGTAAGCTTGCCGATCGACACGCAACAACGAAAAGGACAAGACAAGCGGAATGGATGTTGCCATCTCCTTAATTTTAAAACTGTGCCACAGAAAGATCTGCAAGCTTAGAATGTTGTACCATAGGTGTTTTTCAAATGAATTTTTAGTATCATCCTTATCGATGTGTTTGTACGGCAATTAAAAAGGGATGAGGCCGAAAATTAAAAAAAAAGTACTGATCGGTGTCGTGAATTTCTTGTTGCTACTGGATGGTTCTATGATAAAATCCGCTCGCGTAAAAAATAAGCTGCAAAAATAGAGGTTCTAGCCAAGCCCTAATTCCAAAAAAACAGCCGATGGATCGATGGTAATACATTCAATCGTCCTGCCTCCTAGATGCGTGGATGGCTTCTAGGCGGCACCACAATGCGGCTTGGCCTGAGGAGCGAGAAGTTCCATCGGACAAGCTCCTTTCGTGGAAAGGCTGTCGCTGTTTGTTTTCATTGTTGCTACTGGCGCCGTTGTCTACGGCGTTTGATGGCTGCCCGAACGGTCGCTCCGGATGCGACGATTGGTTGTGCAACTCCGACAGGATGGACCGGAGATGGTCGCTGAGAACTCCAAATTCTGGCCGCTGGTTCGGATCCTCGTGCCAGCATTTCTGCATCAGCACCCGCAGCTTGAGCGGCATGCCCACGCTGCCCTTCAGGGGATCAAACCGCATCGGGGGCCGGGGCCGAACAACGTTCTTGGTGTCGCAGATCTCGGCCGCGGACAAAAAGTTGCACTTTTTCCCTGTAAAAACCTCCCACATACAGATACCAAAGGAATAAACGTCCGCTGGTAATCCGTAGGGCGAGTACCGTATGACCTCCGGGGCCATGATCCTCATCGTGCCCGTCATCCCCGTTATATGGTAGGTATCGTAAAAATCATTCAAATCATAGTTGTCGTTCGTATCTCCAAAGCCTGGTGTAGCTTCCCCACGTGAAGCAGAATCGACAGAACGCGAGGACAAGGGTGATTGCCTCACCTTGTCCGATGATTTGCATTCCCTCGCCAGTCCAAAATCAAAGATTTGCATCCGTTGCAGGGCATCGCCCGATGTTGTTTTTCCTCCAACGTTTTCGGTCTTTAGATCACGAAAGACAATCTTGTGTTTGTGGAGGTATCGCATTCCCTCCGCGACATCGAACAGGGCCAGGACGCGTTCACCTAGAAGCACCAGGCTTTCTAGCGGAGAAGATGGCACAGTTGTCGTCGCCGTGTACATCACCCCTTCCAGCGAGGCGTCCTCACCAACCACGACCTGTGAAAACGGTGACATCGACGAACGCGTGTGGTTTGGCTCCCGTTTGTCGCACCCAAACAAACCACTGGGCCAGAATGCCGCTCGGGAGGGCCACCACGATGCCAGCAAGGACGTTTTGTAGCTGTGACGTTTCGTTCTTCCGGTGGTCTTTTCCAGAATTTCGTTTTGCCGCTTCCCCCAAAATGTTACCCGTTCTGCGAGGGTAAGGTGCAATCGATCCAGGAGTATGCCAAAGTCGGGTGCCCCTGGATTCGAAACGATCCCCCTCAGAGTGATTAGGTTGGGATGGTTGTCAAAAGCTACGTAGCGGTAACGGAATGGATGCACGCCATCATCCTTGTCAGATGGTGGGTCTGCCTCGGAATCGGATCTCTGTTCTGTACAATACAGTAATTGCAGTCTAGCTAACAGCTTGGCTTCTCTAGCCAAATCTTTCGCCGCTTCAATGCGTTTCTTCGGGTACAAATCCTTTCGTATTTGTTTGATTACCAGCAACGACGCGTTCGTGCTTATTGCCGTTGAGCGCGCCAACGAAGAGCCACCCGCAGGGCTGCTGTGTCGCCGGTTCCGCTTTGGCCGGCAATAACTTTCGGTCAGTTCCTGTCGCAACAACCGATCGGCCCCGATGGCGCTTTGGATCTGCTGCGCTTGTTGCTTCTGCTCGTCTACCGAAGAAGAGTTGATGCCCAGCCACAACGACGGGTATCCGGGGGACCGAGGAGGCATTCGTTTCGAAATGATCGTTGCGTCAGGATCCGGATCGGCGTTTGTGTTGCTGCCCGAGTGGCTGCTGCTTGTCAGGGAGGACATCGACGGCATAGTCGTAGAGGACCACAGGGATCGTTTCTCGGAGTGGCGAATGCTGCCTGGATGCCCCGAGGAACATTCAATCGTGTCCAGTTCGTTGTTATTGCCGTTGCCTTGCGGTTCCAAGCCGACAAGCACGGAAGGGTTGCTCCTGACCGAAGAGAAGGGTCTCTCCTCTTTTTTGTGGTTTCGTGTTGATCGATCTCCTTTGCAGTTGTCGTCATCAGGCTGACTACGGGGAAGTAAATGGATGCTCCCTACCCTGAGGACGGTTCCGAATTCCCCCATCCCTAGAGTTGTTTCTAATTCGATTTCGATTGGTTCGAACCGTGGAACCACCACACCGCCATTCCAAATGCAGTGGCTGTGCTTACCTCCATTTTCGCGCTCCTTTCCATAGTCATCATCATCTCGTATAACAATTGGTCTGCATTTGTTTCTACGTAGCATCGCAATTTTCGTCTCGTCGGAGAAGAACGCCGAGTTCGTCTCCATTTTGTCCAGATATGTCCGCGTGACCTCCTTCATTTTGTGGAGGGTGGCCTCCTCTCGTTTTTTGCGGTCCTCGTTGGAATTTTGAAAGAGACTCCTCTGGGTGCTACCGCTGGTGCTCGTGCTGATGCCCCTGATTGAGCTCGTCATCTCATAGGTTTGCTTCCTTTTATCTTTGATATTAGTATTCACTCTAGCTTTCGCTTCAGTTGAAAATTTTCTTTCGAGTTCAATCCTGCAAACCAAAAGCCGACCCGACGTTCACAAAAACAAGAAGAAACGATGTGTACTCCAACGATGATTGTCAAAAGAGAACTGCAATGATGTTTCGTTTCCGTCCTATCGTTCTTCCACGCCTAGCTTAAACTTATACTCCTCGCTTCGGCCATTATCTCTGTATCTTTCTATCTCGGGCTCTTTTGGGCACACCTCGGGCGACCGCAGTTGCATCAACCTGTCGTTTGTCCGTGTGGTTTGCACGGTATCACTGCTTCGTCGTTATGGAGTTATTTCGTTAGCTGCTGCTTGCCGGAGAGTAAGTAAGGATGAGATAAAAACTATGGCTGACCAAATACCCAACTCTCCCCAACAACCAAAAACATCATGCCCATTGGCTTTTGATTTGTTGAGGTAGTTTTGGAGGTGTTCTTCGCCTTTCCGTAGAACTACGTTTGGTACCGTACGTGGTGAGCGAATTTGTTGTTAGATACCTGTACATACCGTATGTTGTTCGAATGTTCGCCTTTTCCATCCCAGTCGTGATGGATGATTCATGACGTACATGTTTCGAGTACTGTACAGCACGAAATCTGTGCCAGGAATGCAGAAGTACATCATAAAAACAAAAAATACATTCAACAGTTGTGTTCTTTGGTGTCACAGACCTTTTTCAGGTTAACACCTTCGCATCCAAAATAAGTCTTAAAAAAACGAATCGCCTCACTATTATTATTTTAATGCGATGTGACTTCCAAAACTTGGTACGGTAATAATCGTATCATACCTTGAGACGATGTTGGATTGTCCAATGTTGCGGCGTGATATAATGTCAATATGTTTGCTGATGTAAAGCACTATCAAATTAGAGTTTATATTTGTATAGTTGTGGAAGGAAGTCTGATAGCGAGTCGAATTGAATCAGAATGCTTGTTTGTTTTGAATCGATCAAGACTTTCGCGATAGCCCGCAGCGAGGCTTGCGCCTTTCGCAGACCGCTAATCTTGACCCGATCCATAGTTCCTTTGTTACTTCCGCTTCCGCCTTGTAAGTTATCGTAGCCCCGGCGCTTCAGCTCCTCCAGGTAATCCCGATACAATTCGACGATCACCTGGACCAGCAGGGGACCAAAGGGTCCCGGCAGAGTCGACCGGCCCTCTTCGGCGTGGGCCAGGAGCTCGTACCCCCGGTTGGAAACCTTCTCCACAACCCGCTTGTAGCCATCGGGGGCCGGCGACATGCCTTCTCCAACGGCCGCTTCCAACAACCACTTCGCTTCGTCTTCCTCCGTGACGCCCTCAGCCCGGAGCATATCCGTCGGGAGGTAGATGCGCCCGAGCACTGCATCCTGTGTTGCATCCCGTAGAATATTGACCAACTGAATCGCAGTTCCCAGGCACGTCGCTGGTTCTCTGGCGGTTTTCACAGCCTCTGCGGCCGAAGTGGAGCTGCTGTCGTTTGCATCGTCTTCGGGGGTGAGGAGCAGTGGTAATAGCATGAGGCCCACCGTACCAGCAACCCGATAGCCGTAGAGCTCTAGTTCTGCCATATCTCTGATGCGTCGTTTCTCCACGGCGTCTGATTTCATGCCCTGAACCATGTCGTCGAAAGGTTTGCGGGTCAGCATGCCTGAGCTCTGGTACCGCTCGATGCATTCCTTGAGTGCCAGATCCATAAGAAAGTCATCCTCCGAGTAGTAAGTTGTTGCGGTTGGTTCCACCCGCGTAGTTTTTCTTGCGCCTTCCTTCGTCTCGTCGCTCCATAAGTCGTCGAATCGTTCCTGCCAAACATCCAACTGATCCTGGACCAATTCCGGCTTACTGGAGTTTTCCTCCGAATCGCAAATCTCGTCCAGGCGACGGCACCAAGCGTACAGCGCAGAAGCCTCCTCGGCTTTTTGAGGGGAAAGAAGTCGGCTAGCAAAGAGGAGGATAGGGTCATGCTTCACCATAAGGCTTTGGATGGCTCGATTGGTTTGCTCGCGTTTTTCTGATTCGTCACCCGTAGCTTCGGTTCTTGCAAGACGCCGCCGGAAGGTCATCCTTTGTCTGTTGTAGCATTGCGCATGGATGTTCGATTCTTCCCCGAGAGATAACCAAGATAATTTTAAACTGGCAGTAACCATCGGCATTTTTGTGATTCCGGGTGCAAGGAACCCTTTCACCACTGTTGTTCTCGATCTTCCTGCAAGGACTGCGACTAGGAAGCAAAAGGGTACCCTCGCTGCGAACAATCGTGCAACAGAGTTCCGGTTGCAACGGTGTTCGTTCCGCGCCCTCCTTCGGTTGCGGATATGGTGGTGGTAGTGGCGCTCCATGACCGAATAGGTTGGGCTTGGTTACAGATTGATTGTTTTTGTTTACGAAGTACGAAGTATGTTGTTATCGGACTTTCTCGTGAGATGTTGCCAAATGGTCTCAATTTTTTGGTTCCAGTTAGTGAACGAAAACTGCAATGCCTACGGTATGTACGGTATCTTCTCATGAACCGAGAAAATAAATGATACGGAAATCGTACGGTACTAACATACCGTACTGTATCGTACTTGTAATACGTTGCTCGTACGTCAGTCAGGAATCACTAGCATGACTGAAACGTCGAACGGGACTGGATATATTCCATCGTACGCACGGGAGAACAGGGGTCCTAAATTGAGACAACTGCTGTAGAATACCTACTCGCACGTGTCGAACAGATTTTGAACATTCGAGGCATACGATATGTACCCAGCTATGTTAGTCTGGTACCATATGAGTGATAGGAGAGTTTCTTATGTATCAGCGACCCACAAGTTGTAACACTGATTTTGAATGGCCCACTTGCTGGAATGCTGAAGCTTAACTTTTAGGCCATCTGCTACAGCTCATACCCTTTTAGTTCCAAGCGCTTCGTACTTCTCCCCAATAGCCTCCACCACGTTGGCCTCCACTTCTTCAGCACAAGGAGGGCTGGTGCTGCTCTCTCTTGAAGCAACTTTTTCTTCTCCCCCTGTTGTGTTGGAAGAATTAGTAGCAAGGAAAAGCATTTTTATGTTTTATGATATCTTTCCTTCTTGCATTCATGCTATAGGGTTCTTTAATTTCAAACGTTCAAGCACGGTGGGCAATAAGAACCATATTCAGAGAGAATGTTTGAAATTCAATAGGATTTATCAGATTTTAAATTACTAAATTGTTGCCTCTTTCGACATAACTAACTTTTTGATTTTTTAAACCATCAAGCACGATTGTGCATTGATCTTTCTTCAAATGTACTTCGAGATTTCGCTTTCTTAGTTAACGGGAACAGGAGTGACGATTTGGTCATCAGGGATTGGGCATTCTTGCCCATCTTCAACTACCCGAAATAATGGGGTGTAAACCGAATACTCATAAGGCCAAAGAGACTCTTTCACTAAAAAGATCCGATAGTCGCCCGGCTTCGCAATTGGAGGACCGGTCATTACTTTCGTTATGGGGGGATTCGCACCTCCCGAGGGGCAGGGTTGCTCACCACACAAGTAACTCGCGGCATAGTATGGTTGCCATAACTGATCCATAAACAAGGATCCCAGCGGGAAGACACCGGTAAAATCCAATGATGATGGTCTGCAACGCTTGAAACGAAACATTATAGGCTGTTCGGTTGTATAGCAAGCAACGATATCGCTGTTGCCACTTAAAGTGACGATGCTATTGCTTTCGTCACCCACTTTCTTGCCATTTTCATCGACCAAATCAATCTCGTCGTCGCAATCAACGTCATAACCAATAGTTTCAATGATGGGAGATTCTGTGGGGGCCGTAGCTACAGGTGGAGCGGTGACGGCAATGCGCTGTCGACGCTCTCTTGCCAACGTTATAAGTGGAATAAGCATGCCTAAGAAGATCAAGAACACTGCAAAGAGTAGGCAGCCGAGTCGCCAGCTATACCTTTGGTCCTGGAACCTCTCAGTTTGTTCCTTGAATAGTTTTTGAATTCGCTCTTTTCTAGATGAATTTGAAGAATCTTTTTCGCCTCGAGATCGTTCGTCGTCAAATCTGTCGACCCTGTACGCCACGGGAAAGCCATTATTGTCGAATTCGACGTCACGATTACTGTGCCATGTTCCAGACTTCCGCCCATACTCTTCGTCAATGCCAGCATCACCCTCAATGTATGCATTATCCTCAAAGTTGAATTCTTCTTGTTCTCGTTGGGCTGCCCCATTTGAACGCAACGACGAAGACGAAGCTCTGGCATTCAGAGTCGATAGAAAGCTTTGACCCAGTTCTCGCAACCGGCGAGAAGAATGCTTTGAAGCGGAGCCAGACGAAGCACCTTCTTCTTGTGATGGTAACGAACTTCCGTTCGCGTCCAATAGCTTGCCCGTCGATCTACCAATAGACATACGGCTCATGCCACCAAAAGTTGACAGGGAGTTGCTGTCTGATATGAAATTGCTTTCGATGCTATCATCAATTGTGAAAATACTTCTGCTAGAACTGTCCCGAAATGATGCACCTGAATGTTGAAGCGCATTTCTGTTTTCGTCTGACTGACGCAACAATGCAGCGTCCAACGTGCTTCTCGAAGCTACAGCATTCATGTCGTCGACAGCATTCTCCTCGTCCCGAAAGTCATCTTGATCTTGACTAGTCGGGGTTTCAATTTCAGAGTAATTTAGGATGCTGATGCCTGGGAGAGTTGACATCACACTTCGTCGTATGTTACCAAAGAGGGATGATGCCGTTCTTCGGCGGACTGACGTAGCAGACGCCTTGATGGTGTCTGGATGTGGCAAGGAGTTTCCACCGCAATCTAAACGATCTTCGCCATTGCTACTGCAATCGTCGACATTATTGTTACTGCTTTTGTTGTCTTGCGCATTGGTGGCAGACTCGATATCTGCAAGTAAGTTATCGGTACTGGTCATCCCTCTCAAGGTATCAGGATGTGGCAAAGAGTTGCCATTATCATCCAAAATAATGTCGCCATTCTCACTGGCATTGTCGTTGTCATTATAACCGTCAGCACAAATTTCTCGAGTTGCAGCAACTGCTTTGTCCTTCGACTGCCGCATCAACGTATCTGGATGAGGAAGGGAATTGCCATTACCGTCCAAATTTTCCAAGTCTTCGTCCTCCTCTGAGTTGGAACCACTCCTGGACTTCATCACATCTGGATTGGGCAGCGAACTTCCATTCTCGTCCAAAATGGATTCGTCATTATCACCACTTTCACCTGCAGCAAATGCCCGGATTTTTTGAAGCATGGTCACTGGATAGTTTTCCTTCAGGGTCTCAGGATGGGGAAGTGAATTGCCATTTCCATCCAAATTCTCCAGGTCTTCCTCTCCCTTGCCATTCGCTACATTTTTAGATTTCATGGCATCTGGATGGGGTAGAGAATTCCCATTCTCATCCAAGATGGCATCATTGTTGCCATCTTCATTACCATTGTCAGGAGAAGCTGCCTTTGCTTTCCTCATCAGAGTCTCAGGATGGGGAAGTGAATTGCCGTTTCCGTCCAAATTCTCCAGGTCTTCCTCTCCCTTGCCATTCGCTACATTTTTAGATTTCATGGCATCTGGATGGGGTAGAGAATTCCCATTCTCATCCAAAATGGCATCATCATTATCCGTATTATCACCATTATTA